TTTTACAGGAACTGTTGAGGAGTACCAGCTGCCTTACTATGACATGGTGCCCTCAGACCCCTCCGTGGAGGACATGAGGAAAGTCGTTTGTGAGCAGAAGTTTCGACCAAGCATCCCGAACCAGTGGCAGAGCTGTGAAGTAAGGCTTTGGGGTCTTGTTGTTTGCAGTGCTGGAGTTATGGGTATTCTGTTTTTCTCTGCTATATTTTTCAGATGAGTATCAGGGAGGATTTTCAGACAGCATACAGTACTTTTTAAACCATACAGTTCATTCCATATAAACCATCAGAATTATTTCTCTGTACCAGTGTCTACCCACAACAAACACCCTAAAATCCTGCTGAGTTTCTACAACAAGGCTATATGTCTTGCTTGCACTTCCTCCTGTGTAGATAGGCAGCTTTCCACTGGGAGCAGACATCTGTCCACACTGAGATGCTGCCCTGATCCTGGACTGTGTCCACATAGCTCCCAGATCTAAAGGTCAGAACAAAAGGGCCTGAGGTCACACACTGGCTCCTCAGTTCTTTGGCACAGGGTCATACTATTTCTATTCATGCTCTGACGAGAACTAGTTCCACCTAAGCAAGGAACTGGGAACCTGGGTTGTCATGGTCAAGTTCAGCGGACAGTTAGTATTCATGCTGCGTGGACAATTACAATTCCAATGTCTGTCATCCTAGAATCTATACATTATTTCTAACTCTAAACTCTTGAAATTTGAACTTCATTTTCCTCATAAGAAAAGGTCCCAGAGATGACTGCTGTTTTCCTTCTCATCCTGGTGGTGGCATAATTGCTTTAAATAGGTGCCTTTTCCCCCATTCCTAATCTTTCCTTTTAATATTTCAGAACTTTATATAAGGTAAGTCTTTGTATTTTTATGTTTGGTGGTTGTCTTACCTATATCTTTTTCCATAATTTTATTGAGAAAAAAATAGCAATGAGACAGTTTCAAACCAAATTGATAGGACAGCTTGAATAATTAACACATTGCATACATTCTTCCTAGTGGTTAATTGCTGTACAAGGTGTGGACAGGATATCCCATTTACAAACACCATTAGAGCAAATCCCTCTATTCATTAAGAGAATGTAACTATATATCTATCTTAACCACTTTGAATACACAGATACAAAATGGACATT